CATGTGGGTATATACAAGACAAATTAGTACTACAAGGAAAAGAAACGGTACAACCCTTGAACTGAGTGGAGAAAGAAAACCAGAGCATTCAATAAATCTGATAAAAATTAAAAATAAATTCATAAAATTAGCAAAAACCATTAATGACGCACTCACATAAAACTAACGGAACATGCCATTCTTAAAATGTAATAGTCTTCACTCCTTTTTAATTTCCTGCAGTGAGGCGCTGCCAGTACCACTTAAACCAACATCACTCTCTACTTGTCTAAAAACAAAAGTGCTCTCTGGTTTACGTTTCTTGCTTGACTACTCCCAAACATTTCTAATACTACTTTATTATTAAGATCTACTGACAGTAATTTACATCCCTAACTGACATAGAAAGTTGGTAAAAGTTCCAAGAGTACAAGGACACATGATAAAACATGTAAACTGGCAGAAATTCACATGAAATCTACCTTACTTGGACTTCTTAATTTAAATGTTAATTCATTCAGTTAACACACACTAAGCGGTAAATATAGGACAGAAAATATAGTCTACAAAATTCTCAGCAATACACGTCATCCATTCAGCAATAATTATTGTATGCCTCCTTCACGCCGGGGGGTTGGGGGATCAATAGTGAACAAAACAGTCTCTGGTTCTCGTGAAGTTTATATTATAGGAAGGAAGGACAATCGAGTAAAGAAACAAATTGCAAATTTCAGCTGGTGATATGTGCCATTAAGAAAAATTAGTGTTGTGATGGGGAATAAATAGGACACCTATAGGAACTTAAATGCTGACAAGGTTATTAAAAAAAAGATGTATTAATCTCGAACCTCGTGGATGAACTAGGCAATATATATGGATGGCAGTGACAGGAATAAGAATAGAAGCCACAGAGAGGGGTAAAAATGTGAGAAGAACAAGAGTTGAAAAGAGAAACAGATGTGTAATGAACAACAGCCTATTGTGCCAATTACAGGGAGGCCTATGTTTTGTTTTGTTTTCTTGATCCATGGGATCAATTTATCAGATCAAACTATACAGAAACCACCTATCCTACCATACTCCTATTAGACACAAAGTAGATATTTTAAAACCAGAATTAAAGGGGGAAATAGAACTGCCTTTCTTATGACAGCAAAAGGAGGGGGAGGGGTATTTATAAAGACATGTGGCTCTTCCTACAGGACCAAATCATGCTAGAACTTTCTGTTAAGACATCACTCAAGCCTCAGAGTATGAGATCCTTGAAGAATACTATTTAAAAGAACCACTGCCTAAAATGCTTATGAGTTATTTAACTCGTCTGTACAACATCTAGACCAAACATGAACAATTAAAATAGTCATTTTTTCAGAAACCACTGGGAAAATAAAAACGCATTAGCCAAACAGATAAGCACTCACAAAGGGAGCTGTGCATCACCTTGGCTCCCTGTAGTCTTTGTCAAGGTAGAGGGTACATTATCAATATGTAACTGAAAGCCTTCATTGGCCCTTTCTTCCCTGCCTGCATCTTCATAACCATCACCAATCTTTTTGGCACTAGGAACCGGCACTCCCATGAGAAATCTAACACCTGATGATCTGAAGTGGAACTGAGGCGGTGATACCAGCATTGTGGAGCCACTGCAAATACAGATGAAGTTTCGCTCCTGTGCCTGCCACCCACCTCCGGCTGTACCGCCCCGTTCCTAACAGGCCATGGACCAGTACCGGTCTGTGGCCCAGGGGTTGGAGACCCCTGTTCTACAAAACCTCTATCTTATGAGAGGCTGCCATTCCCTGTGTCTCCATTTCCATATTGAAGTACCAGAAAAACAAGTAGCCAAAGGTGTTTCAAGAGTTCCGTTACCTCACTGTCTATAGGAACAGGAACCAGCAGACTCACTACAGAAGTGTGTTCATCCTCAGTCTCAAAGATCACTCAGACTAAGTAAATTAAATCCTCCCAAAATCAGACTTCTGCACTTTATCCATTTGCCCTGTCTCTAAGTCCATGGCTAAAGGTACAATCTCCTCAAAATCTGAACTCAGCTTCCCCCTCAAAATTAAAAACCCCTTTTCAACTTCTCATTATCATTCTCAAATTCAACTATGTAAGCAGAAAAGCAACCAAAATCATGACCTTTTTTCTCACTACAGTCTCTCTCCTACCATCTCACATAATCAGTTACTAAGTCTTATGTTATTTACTGTATATGAGGTGCACACCCACTAATCCTGTTACTTTCCAAATTCTGATCAATGACATTATCACTTACCCAAGTTCTAAACCTGGAGTCGTCTTTATAAAGAATGAAGATGAGGCAAAGTTAACCAGTGGGAGAAAAAATAAAATAGCATTTATTGAGTTTCTATTATGTACTTATCACTTGTGCCGGCCTAGGAAATATGTTATACTATTTTCACTTTATAAATGGGGAAAAAAAGTTTGAAGTTTCTCAAATATACCCATTTCTCTCCAGTCTAACAGTTCAGACTTTTAACACTTCACATTTACAATACCGTTAGTCTTCTCTATTCCAAATCTGTTCTGCATAAAACACTGCCAGAACAATCATACCAAAATTCCATTTATATCACATCAATTCCCTGTTGAGGGCAGTGAAATGCCTTCTGCTTCCCTATTTGCCCAATGACTGATCCAGAGCTTCATAAATATTGGTTGCTTAAAACCATCCCACGATTCCCCATCAGCCTAGATATAATGAGCCCTGGAAGCAGAAAGTAATCACTTTAATCTAAGACAGAGATGCTGAATATACAGAAAACATGTGAAAAAGCCAAAGGCAAAGCAAAAGCCTTCAAGATAAAGTGGAACCTCTCTAAGACATTTCACAATTCTGACTCGACCCAAACCAGCCTTCTTTAGGGAATAAGGATGCTGAAATTAGAATGCCTCTGGGTTCTAACCCAGCTCCTCCACTTCCAGAGACCTAATCTCTCTGTGCTTCAATTTCCTCCTCTACATAAGTTTAACTTGGTCTCTGCTCCATACAAGTTTAACTTGGTCTCTGCTCCAGTTCTCCCACCCACTCCCTGATTATCCAAGTCCAAGTCATTCTCCAAACGTCAGCTAAAGGCCCATTTCCCTTGCAAACTCTTACTGGATGACCTCAGTCCATCACTCCACTTACTTAATTTATAATAACATTACAGCAAAAAGAGTCTGAATCACTCATTTTAATTTTTAGCTGTGCTCATACATCACCGTGTTTCATTTATTTCACCTGTGTATGCCCCATCCCCCACTAATGGCCCACTCATGAATGACAGTGACACTACGAACTGCCTCAGGTGATCATCAGTGGCACAACAATATTAATATCAACAATTACTACACCATTTACTGAATACATAGTAAATGCCAGGCACTTGCTAAGTATCTTAAGTATTTTTCTCTCTCGATCTTCGTAATCCTTTAAGGTAAATCTGCCTCTTTATCCCCATTTCATAGTTAAGGAAGATACGTTACCCAAAGCTACAAACAAACAAACAAACAAACAAAAACCTAGTGAGGATGGGGGTGAAGAGTGAGAAAGGGTGATTTCAAACTCAGCTCTGTCTACCTCCCATTCTTCACTACTACATCATACTGTTTAGTAATTACTTTGGTCATTTCATATCTAGGTGTTAAATTTTCTCTCCTAAACGTAAGCTGTTAACAGTAACAAAAATTGTGCATTTCTTTGGTCATTTCCAGAACAACCCATTCTTAATAAGTGAGTCATACTCAAGCCTTCAAATAAACTAACTCATTTGATCCTCATGACAATTCTGTGAAATAGTAATAATTATTATTGCCAATTTACAAATGAGGAAACAGGCACAGAGAGGTTAAATAACTTGCCCCAAATCACACAGCTGGTAAAGTGCTGAATTTAAAGGTGAAATGGTAACTGTGATATATTACTTCATTTACTGACTCTTCTCAACAATTTTTACTAAGCACTTTTCTAGGGGGTGGGGGATACAGCAGTGAACAAACCAGAAAACATCCCTGCCCTCATGGAGCTTATAATCTTATTTCTTTTCCTGTATTTTCATTCTATCATCTTAAATACTCTTAAAGAAGATTTCCATACAAAAATATCAAATTTGGGTAATAAAAACCAGTATGGAAGAAAGAGCATGAGACGTGTAGCCGCAAAACCTGGGACAAATTCCCAACTTTGTCATTTATTAGACCCTGGGCAAAATCTCTTCACCTGACTCTCAATTTCATGACCTGTATGAGACAGTGCATGAAGCTGTGCACCTAGCAGTGTCTGGCACTTAGTATACATTCTGTAAATGAGTTTCCTTCTTTCTCCTTCCCTCCATGCAGTGACTTCATAATCTGTGTCGTCCCTGAGCACATGTTAAAAGGCTCTGCGAAATTATATCAAGGATTACAAAGCGACCAATCTCTTCTGTTCCAGGGCAATTCTCATGCCAAATCACTATGTCTCCAATTTCAGGTCCCAGACTACTCTGCCGCCGATAAATCAGGTTACAACTCGGGAATGACAGCAACTCACGTTAGGGCCTGGCAGTGTCTATAAAGTGCTCTCAATGACCTTCTTTGGAAGGCACTTTTCAGCTGAGAAGGAATGTGGCCTCCTGACCAGGCTCCACTCCCCGTGAGGAAGATGTGGCACCAGGGAGGAGAATTTCGAGCCTCTGGCACAAGGTTGTGTCCTACATACCGTTTTTCACTCGAAGAGCTCGGCACCCCTCCTGCCACCTCTCCTGCCACCTGCCAACCCGACCCCCGCCTCCTCAGGGCTACAACTCACTCTTTTCACTCGGGCGGCCGCCTAGGCTCCCGGGGCGCGTGTTCCCCGCCGCCCAAGTGACCGACCTACCGCCCGGGCTCGGGCAACCAGCCCTGACCCAAGGGTCTGGAACAGGCCGGACCGCCTGACCTCTCATGGGGCTTCCCTTCCGCCCTCCTGGTCAGCGGCGCCTCGAGCTGGCTGCTTGGTTCCGGGCTGGGCCTGCCAGGGGCAAGAAGCCCCTTACCTATCTTCACGACCGTATCCGCCAAGCACCGATCCCACTTCCTGCCGAGTTCTGACTCCGACATGTTCCCCACCCGCAGCTCCAGCTTTCGTTACGGTGGGACCCCGCGCTCCGATTCTAGGCAAGTCTCGCGAGAGCTGGTCGCGGTTCCCAGGCCCGGAAGATCGGCGTCGGCGTGCCAGATATCGCGAGATGATCTGACTGCTTCCGTCCTTTCCTTTTCTCTCTCTTTTTTTTTTTTTTAGTTGGTCGTCAAGGTGACGGGTTGCGGGAAGGCCCGAGGTGACCCTGACCTTGGAGCCGCGCCTACCTAAGGGTTGCAAGGCTGACATGTTTCCTAAGCGGCATCCAAAGCCCTTCCTTCGCACCAGCTCCCGACGTTGGCCCTGGAAATTCCCAGGACAAATGAGGGCACAGCGTTTGATTTATTCATTCATTTCCTTACTCGGCTTCACTTTTTCTACTCATTCACTCATTTATTGCAGTGGCACTCCCACCTGCACCACTAACAGAAACTGCTCTGGCAAAGGTCACCTATTGCCAAATCATATGCTTTTTGGACCTCTGTACAGCATTAGACACAACTGCTCCCTCCTTCCGGGTCCTCCCTGTCTCCTGCCTTCTCTTTATTCGTTTGGACTCCCAGTACACCAGTCTTCCTAGTCCTTCCCTAACCCTTCTCTTTAGGGGTCCTTTCAGGGCTGCTTTTTCTCTGCCAGCTGCTTAAAGAGGTAACATCTACTACTAGAACTTAGAGCTCCCCCGCCATCTTATTGTCACAGGAGCTTGCCTACTCCTCTTATTTGCTACATTATATTGAAACATCTGCAAGTAAAACTAAAAGCTCCTAAAGTGCCTGAGCTGCCCCTTCTTCATCTGCACACTCCCAATTCAAAGGACAATGCCTTCCTTGGTCAGTAGGATCTTCTATGAAATATTTGTTGGACTGAATTGAATTCATTTATTCATTTATTTTTTCACTTATCCTTGGCAACTTTAACAGCAGAACTGCTGTACAGTCCTTACCAGAGACCCTTCTTTCAGAAAGGCTTCTTCCATGACCACCCTTCTAGCTCTCATCTGAGCTACATAGCAAATTGTATTGTAATTGTGTGTCTCTTGGATGTGACTCATCCTTGAGAATGGAGGCTGTGCCATTCTTGTATCCCCTATGACTAGCAGAGAGCCTGCTATATATTGAATTCTCAATAAATGCTTTTTGAATGGATGTAAGAATGAATGGATGTATAAATAAATGATTACTTTAGAAAGAGAAAAAAGCCTTTGTACTGGGAAAAATCTATTGTGTAGCATTTACATTGAAAAAGGAAAGGAAAATTAACTTCGCTACATACCTATGATGTGTCACAAGTAGCATCAGGCATCTCATATCACTTTGTTTATTCTCACAGCAGGTTGAGATTAGTATCTTTATTTTCACAGATTTGGAGTATCACAGAAGTTAAGTAATGTGAAAGATGCATAAGCCTCTGCATTGTGTTGATTTAGAAACTGACAGAGGCATTTTTATTGGATTCAGGAGAGTTGTAAAATTTTGTGGAAGGCGGAGAGCAAATTACAAAAGCAATCAGAGGCAGATGGTATAGCATGGATTCTGGAGCCAGCCTGTCTGGGTTCAGATCCCAGCTTTGCCATTTCCTAGCTTTGTATCTATTATTCTCTCCTTCCATGGTTCCTTTCCCCATATGATGTTTTATTCACTGCTGAATCCCGAACCCTAGAACATTATCTAACACATAGTGTTTGCTTGATAAACATATGTTAGTTAAATGAATTAAAATAAATTAAAACTGGAGTTTTTATAGTTCTTGGGGAACAAAAACCAATAGGAATGAGGACAATATTTAAGAAAAACCAGCAATACATACTTTATAAACTTTGTTACATTTAAAAATAAATTTATTGATGCTGGAGAAGGGCGTACAAACATGAATAGGGGGAAAGCTTGAAAAGAACTCTGCTGTTGAATTGGAATTAAATGTATCACTATGAACTCACTATATTTAAAGTAATAGAGATAGATATAAAAATGTGTGTGTGTATTTCTTGATCCTGTTTGCTGAGAGGGCCTAAAAGCAATAACAAACCAATAGCAATAAGCAAGCTTAGATTTTGGCTTCTAAATACCATTCTCTACTATAAGGTCCTTAAACTCCAGAGCTGGAGCAGGGAAAATATAAGATGACCTTTCTTGTGTTACAAAGTAATGAAGTCTTTTAAGGAAGTCTTTTAGGGTCATGCCAAAACGTTTCAATAACTACGAACTGCCTAAAGTAGAGCCTGTTTCCTAATTGGAACTCTGTGAAAGTCATTATTAGGACTTCTCTCAATTGTATGGAACAAGTTTCATAAAGACAGAAGTTTGCATTTTGAATGGGTTAGGATAGAGTCTCGTAATAAAGTAATTTCACAGTAAGAGAGCCAGCATCTTTCAATACTGGATAGAGGAAAAATGAAAAAGCAAAAACTGTCACTTAAGTACACTAGATTTTAGCCCCAACTGGTTAATCACCTAGACATAAGCTCTTTGTTTAGTTTACTAGCTTGTAAATCCAGCTTCATTAACAACGCAGATTAGAATATTTTATAGCACAGCACCTGCATAAATAAAGGTCTTTGAGATTCCAGTGGGTTCTTTTTCTGTTTCCTTTCAATTAAAAACTAATTCCTTTCTTAAAGAGAGATTCACACTTTTTTGTTTCAGATCTTTTTTCTCCAACAGAGGTCTTATATTATTTTGCCCAGAGTCAGGTATTCAAAGTCAAACAGCTACTAAGTAGCTTATTTGTTTGGTTCCAAAGTCCAGGAGCCCCTCCCATTTTTTTCATAACGTGTGTGTGTGTGTGTGTGTGTGTGTGTGTGTGTGTGTGTGTGTGTGTGTGAGAGAGAGAGAGAGAGAGAGAGAGAGAGAGAGAGATAACAAGCATACGGAAAAGTGCTAAAAACATAAATATGGCGTAACAAATAAATTGCTGCTAAATGAGCATCACCAGCACCTCAGAAGCCCACTCCCCGGTGTGTCCTTTGCCATACCGTATCCCCTCCCTCCCTGCTAGCATAATCGCTATCCTGACTTTTACGTTATTTATTTCTTTGCTTTTCTTTTAGTGTTGTTACCTGATTATACATCCTTAATAACATGATTTAATTTTGCCTGGTTTTCAACTTTATATAAATGGAATCACACGGTCTGTATCCTGTGGTATTTGACTTTGCTCATTATTATGCTTTAAAATCCATCTATATTGCGTTTATAGTTCTTTCTTGTTTCATTGCCATATAGTACTCGTTATATTATACCCATACTTTATTATTCTATTATCTATGGATATTTGAGTTGTTTCCAGATTGAAATTATTACCAACTAGGCTTGTCATTCTTGTACATGTATCCTGATGCATATTGGCATACATTTTAATAGGAAATATAACTAAGGAGGGTGCTAAGTAAGGTATGCTTATCTTCAGGTTTTTAGATACCGCAAACTTTATCCGAAAGTGCTTGTACCAGTTTACATTCTCGCCAGCAGTGTGTGACCTTTCCTGCTACTCCACATCCTCGCCAAAAGCTGATTTTTAATTACACTCGAAAATTGCTGCCAATCATACTGAGATAAGGGGAACCTTAAATCCAAAATCACTGGCGCTCTTATAGGAAGAGAAAAAATACAGAGACAGAGACAGAAGGAAGATAGCTATGAGACAATGGAGTAGAGATTAGAACTATGTGGCTACAAGCCAAGTGTCAGTCACCAGAAGCTAGGAGAGCAGCATGAAACGGAATCTCCCTTTGAGCCACCAAGAAGAAATCAACCCTGAGGACACTTTGCTTTTGGATTTCTAGCCTCCAGAACCGAGTGAGAATAAATTTCTGTCATTTTAAACCACCTGGTCTGTGAGACTGTTATGGCAGACCTAAGAAACTAAACTAGCAGGGAACACACTAGATTGGAAACGGTGAGAGCTGGACCTCAGTCTTCCCTGCCACTAACTGGTTGTCATATGCATGTAGCCGATCCCATCAAACGGGCCCGCCCGCTGGCTCTCTCTTCAGATTCTTTCATATGCTTCTTCCCATTGTACTTTTGGGCCTAATGCTGGTAATGGCTCTGACTGTTACTTACTCGAAAGTATCACCATTCCTCTTGCTCTAATCAACTCTCCTCTATTTCCTGCCTTGGATGCACCCCGTTTCCTGACAAGACCCTGACTGCTAAGCTTATGAGAGCTCTCTCCCTGCCCCTCCTGTACACCCAGCCACACCCTTTGTTTCCTAACCACTGCCCATCACAATTTGCAATTATCTTCTCTATTTACCCCTCTTATCCTCCCCCCACAACCCTTGTTTCTCCCACCAGATGGAAAGCTCCCTGAAAGCAGGGACTCATCATTATATCCTTAGTGCCTCACACAGTGTCTGGTGCATTGAAGGCATTTAATGAACATTTCTTGAATGAATGAATGAATGAATGAATGAAT